GTAGTAGTAGTAGTAGTAGTAGTAGCAGCAGCAGCAGCAGCAGCAGCAGCAGCAGTAGTAGTAGTAGTAGTAGTAGTAGTAGTAGTAGTAGTAGTAGTAAGTAGTAGTAAGTAGTAGTAGTAGTAGTAGTAGTAGTAGTAGTAGTAGTAGTAGTAGTAGTAGTAGTAGTAGTAGTAGTAGTAGTAGTAGTAGTAGTAGTAGTAGTAGTAGTAGTAGTAGTAGTAGTAGTAGTAGTAGTAGTAGTAGTAGTAGTAGTAGTAGTAGTAGTAGTAGTAGTAGTAGTAGTAGTGGTAGTGGTAGCAGTAGCAGTAGCAGTAGCAGTAGCAGTAGCAGTAGCAGTAGCAGTGGCGGCAGTAACAGCAGCAGCAGCAGCAGCAGCAGCAGCAGCAGCAGCAGCAGCAGCAGCAGTGGTAGTATCAGTGCTACCACGGCGCGAACCCAGGGGCCAAGCGGGGAGGGGGACAAAAATAGTTCCCGACTCCCGTATTTAATTAGTTTAATCTTTTCAGTAGAATTAGGGCCCCCGAGGGGGGGGGGCTTTTACCGACATTAGGACTGCGGGCTGTGCACAGGCAGCCCCCGCAGGTAGTCCCAGCTGACCTCAACAGGCCCCCCGAGTAGTCCCAGCCGGCCTCAACATGCCCTGGAGCAGTCTGGGGCGATCTCAACATCGTGGCGCCACCTGAGACCGCCCGGGTTACTCTGGGGGGCCTGCTGAGGCCAGCTGGGACTACTCGGGGACCCTGTTGAGGCCAGCTGGGACTACGTGGGAGGGCTGTTTTTTCGCAACCTGAAGCCTTACCAAGTTGCATCGTCACGCGTTCACCGTCCATACTGATTGTCTTAATCTGAGCGGGATCACGGGTCGCACTCGCGGCCGGCCGCGAGCGTCTTTGGCTCAAGCATCCTGGCCCGAGTTCCCGCTGTGGTCCCCAGGCGCGAGATCCGCGGCAAGTGGCAGTCAGTCTCATGCGCAGCGGCCGCGGCAGCAGCATGCAGGACACCCGCCAGACTGACAGATCAAGACCTGCCGTCAATGATCGTCTGTCGACGCTAAAGGGCGCTGGGCCCAGGCCCGGCCGCAGCAACAGCGACGGTAATCTTGGGAGCGCCGCTGGGGAATGCCTCCCGCGGGTGGACGCGTCCCAGGATGCGCGGGGCAGAGCACCAGAGAGGCCTGCGCGCGTGCACGACGATCAAGTCGGGAGCGCCAGTGGGAGCTACACCACTCATGGATCGTTCCCAGAACATGTTCCCTCCGCATCAGACAGCTATTGCTCTCTGTCGGCTCTCAGTGGCAGCAGGTGGTGGTTCAGCGACCGCAGCGAGTACGAGAGCAGCGGCAGCTCAGCGTGGAGCAGCTCCAACTCCGAGAGCCACAGCCCCCGAAGTGCAGAGGCTCTCGGAGGGCTTCAGCTATACACCTGCACCGATCAGGGCCAGACCGATCCTAGGCCCAGGATCGGTGTGTTTATATGTACATGTATATGTAAATGCAAATATATGATTACATGTTTGCATTCTGCCCAAGGCAGGAGGGCGTACACACCGATCCTGGGCCCAGAGTGATCCTGGGATCCTGGCCAGGATCGGTGTTGGTGTATATAGTCATTGATGCCATCCTAGAGGAGAGCGAGGTCGATGAGCAGCAGGAGGCGGAGTGGCGGAAGGCCAACGAGGCTCAGCACGCCATTGGCGCCTGCAAGCCGTGCCTGTTCCACGGGACGGAGGCGGGCTGTGCGAAGGGCCGCGCGTGCAGGTTCTGCCACCTGCCGCACGCGGCCAAGCGCAGGGCGCGGCCGAGCAGGGCCGAGGGGATGCGTTGCAAGCAGCTGGTCGCGAAGCCAGGCTGCAGGTGCGAGGGCGACGCGGATGCCGCGTGGGACTCGGCCGACGGGTGCAGCCTGCGCCAGCGGCAGGTGCTCAGCGCCTTCCGGGAGAGGGGCCAGCAGCAGGGCCCGCCAAGGGCGGAGCTGGGCGGCCTGACGCGCGCCGCCGCGGGCGAGAAGCCGCAGCAGCCCTCGAGGTGCAGCTAGAAGCGCGCGGGTCCGTGGGGAGCGGGGAGGGGGGAGCATATCGGGTGGGCCCAGGACCAAGATAAATGGATCCAGAGCGTTCCGCAGCGCTCTCGGAGCGTTCCAGAGCGCTGTGGAGCGGCCGCGACGCCCGATACATCCTCCAGGAACGCCAGATCTCAGAGATCCCCTTTGTATCCCGATTCGACGTTATTCCAATTTTGGCTTCGTCTTGCACCGGAGGGGAAGTATGCAGACTATGGCCGGATCAGAGGAGTTGCTCGAGCGGTCGAGGGGGCCGCCGAGCCAGGATCGTCATGGCAGATAGGCCGCTGCCGCGTGATAGGCTTGCTAAGTGAGCTGGTCTCTTCCGTCGCAGTTCGGCCATAAGGATTTGAAACATAACAATCATAGTATGTTTTCTGACGATGCTGGCGTGAAGTGCGAGATCCGAGCTACACCCGATATTCGCATGCATTGATTTTATGTGAATCTCAATTGGTTTGCAGGTTTACTGTAGTGTTCACTCGGAACGAAATAACATACGACATGTGTTAATTTTGGTAAGGCTCAGGCGCCTTATGCGCATCATGTTTGTCGTGTGCACCTGAGTCATCTCAGTGTTAATTGATTCACTCGAAGGCGAATTGTCGAGCATCCATTGAAATTGTATTAGCCGAGTGTGTTTCGTATGTGTACGTTGTATTTCCATCGATTGACCGATACGTGTTATTCATTTTGTTTGCGCCAGGTGTGTTATGTTTGCACCTCAATGTCTGTGTTGTGCACCTTCTTCTGTCAGTTGTCATGCCCACTGCTGCATTAGAACCTCAAAGTTCTCTATGCCTCGAAATTGCAGTTTCGATCGTCCATTCAATCCACATTCCTGGTCGATCGTACAACACACTCCCTCCTTATTTTGGCTTGCAGTTTGCAGGCCCTGAGCAGAGATCGTGTTTCGAATCCTCATGGCAATTCGGGCGCTGGTCCCGGGCTGCACGCACCCTCGGTCTCGGCGGGCGAGTGCGGAGGGCGGACGTGGGCTGGGGCTACAAGTCGCGTGCCATCCAGCCGACCGCCTGCCTAAAAGCCATCCATGCGTTTAGGGCGATCGTGCGGTCCACCCGACCGCCAGTTTAAAAACATCCGCCTGCTTAATAACACCATCTGCATGCTTGGGCGTCGCAGGAGGTGGTCTATCAATTGTGTTGGATGGTTTTGGCAAATTCAATATGAGGTGGTCTATCACTTAGTTTCAAGCGCATTGCTTCTGTTCAATACGCCGTCTTGGCCTTCTGTGGTTCACACACTCGCCCTCTGGCCGGGTTCGGCCCCGGCCAGTGCAGAAAGTTCGTCTTGATGGGTACACTTCCCTTGCCTTTCGGCGTTGACCGGGTGTTCGTGGGGATGTTCATCAGCGCTTGTTGCGTACGCAGGATAACGAAGAGAAACATGTGAGCCGAAGCATGGGGAGAATCAGTGGTGCGTTGGTACATGTTCTGATCTTTCGCCGTCACTCGCGGTTCTGCTCTTCTCGAGTGCTCGCTTTGTAGTTGTCTTGGCTTGGGTGGAGGGCGTGGTGCTCTGTCTGTCGCCTTACCTCTCCAAGGGGCCACCCCAGCGAATGTGGATAACACCCGCCAAGCACACCCCACAATACGCGTGATGTTGAATGGTTGTAGAGCCAGGTGGACAAACAACCCGGGCAAATCAAGCTCGTGGGGTCTCTGGCTTCACCGTTCCATCTTTTTGTCCTCCGCCCCATGGCATACATATCGCGTGCATCTTTAACCAGCTTATTTCCTCAGGTGCGTTACCAAGATGACAGCGGTCGGCCTTTAGTGGCGTTCTGCGATGGACCTGCGAATTTGGGTTGCCTGACACGCGTGAAGTTTGAATTCGCGTGCGTTTCAGTGCGTCACACCCACTCTTCGTCCACCCGCACAGTCTTACTTGTCTCTTGCGCGCCGAGTGGGGCAAGACCACCGTCAGTGGCTCTTTCTTTGATGGTTGCCGAGCGGAGTACTTGCACTGTACTGCTGTAGAGTGTTAGCGTTCATCGAGCGGTCTGCAAGAGTGCCCAGCAGAGCCTTCACATAACCCCAATACACATCCAGGCAGCACAAGACCACCCCAGTAGCCCCCACGAGGACTCCAAACGCCCTCCAAGAAGCCCCAAGTGAGCCCCAGGCAGCCTCAGCAGTCCCAGCGCAGCCCCGAAAGGTCCCCAGGACCCCCACGTTTTCCACGTCCTTTTCCGCATGTTCTTCCACCAGTCTTCTTCGTTGTCATCCTCCTTGTCGCCCGCCCCGCTGTTCTCATTGTCCTCCACGCTGTTCCCGACGTGGTCTTCCAAACATTCCAGACGTTTGCGTAGCCCCACCAGCGGTCGCCGGCGACAGTTGCGCTGTGTTTCCGATGCTCGCTTGCTGTTCGACCCTTCTGACGCCGTGCGGCGCGGGTGTCCGCCTGCGGTCGCGATCAAAAAAACCCACCAGCCCATGTAGAAAAGATGCCAGGGTGAGTTGCCCTGAGCAGGAACGTGGAGAAGCACGCAGTGGAATCCTGGGCCGGGGAAACTGCTTTACGTCATACCCCAGGAGGGGGAGGATGGAGATGGGGGAAAGGGAGGGGGAGGAGGGGGGAGGGAGGAGGAGGAGTAGAAATAGGCGAAGATGTAAGAGGATGAGGAGCATGATGAGGAAGGCGAACAGAAAAGGCATAAGGCCTCTTGGATACTTTTCGGGTTCTCTTCGGATGTAAAGTAGCTTGAGTTGTGGCTCTGGGTAGGCATGTGGTGAAAACTTCAGGCATATCCCTCAGGACGTGGCCGTATGATTGATTGCGCCCGTCCTGGCCGATCCGAGTCTGGAGCGTTACGCCGTCCGGCAAGCTGCCCGCTGGCGGTTCGCGTAAGCCTCGCGTAAGGCGTGGTGACGTCTACCTGGCCGGGGTCCGAAAACCTTGCAGGTTTATGGTGAGTCCGTGGCTGTGGGCCATTTTGGCTCAAGGGGTCGCGTGCCCGAGGCGCTAACTTTTTGATATCGAGGATGGCTGCCATGGCCGCATCTTCCTCGAGCCCGTCTGCGCCGGGAGCGACCCAGGCAGGTTGCTGCCCAATCTGCATGGTCGACATCGACTGGGACAACGAGCTGTGGGCGGTCTGTCCCCCACGCGCAGAGCGACACGGGCGACACGTATTTCATGCGGATTGTCTCGCAATACACGTCGCTGCAGCGGACACATCTTGCCCTGTGTGCCGGAGGGACATGGCAGAGACTGGTTACGAACTACATGACAAGCGCTTCGTTGAAGTGATCTTCCCTGTCCGGCACGGGCTCGAGGACAACCTCACGTCCCCGGCGGAGGTGGTGTCGTCCGAAGAAGAACCCGGGGGGCGTGACCCAGAGTCCCCCGCTCCCGAGGAGGTCTTCGACGCGGTCTTGGCGGAAGCGGCCGCCCAAGGCATCGATGAAGGGACGATCTCCCCCGTGGACCTCGCGGAGGGCATGCCCGCCGAGAACACGCAGCCGAGAGTCCCAGTGCAGGGACACACATGCGTGCGTCCTCTCATTTCCGGGCCGCCCCAGGCGCGATTAAGCGACAACAGGAGCCGGTCACCGTTCCAAGTCTCTTCGGTGTTGGCGCGCCCCCCATCATGGCCGAGAGGGGGGCATTGGGGCGGTTCCGTCAGACCGGCAGCCCCTGTGGGCACTCCAGGGAGGAGCCCGTTCAGCGTCGCGGCGCTGAGCTCCCGTCCTCCACTGCCGTTCCCGAAGCCCGTGCGCCCAACACCCCGTAGTAACGCCTTCCCGTTCCGGGGCCCCCAGCCGCCTCCACCACGGCCCGCATCTCTCAGAGTAGAGAGTCTTGAAGGAGTGCGGGGCCCGTCCATGCTCACGCCGGCACGCCAGGCGGGCGGCGGACGGCGGCTTCCGCCCCGGACGAGAAGGCTCCGCGCGACCACGTTCGGCAGACAGGACGGGCACAGTGGAGCGCAGGCCATGGAGGAATACATGCACAATGAAGCCGTCGACAAATGGGAGCGGATCATCACCACGGACTTGGGCCAGGACTCCGACGTCTTTGTGTCCCTTTCCGAGAGCCGGCACTTACAGCAACACGTGCGCCAACTGGTGCGGGGCACAGCGGCTAGCACCATGAAGAAACACCTGCAACAATGGGAGCTCTGGTCCGCCTGGGCCCAGGAGTGCGGCACCTCCCCAGGCCACCCAAACTTGTCGGATGTTGCGGACTATCTGTGTGAAGTCCTGTACGGCTCAAAGCACGACCGCTCCCGCACACGTGCCGGCGCAGTCACAGGAGTGATTCAGGGGCTACGGTTCGTCGCCCGGAAGGCGCAAGCATCAACCCTGGAGGACATCCTCGATTCGCCGATGGTTCAGGGCTATCTCGCAGGGACGGCAGTCCCGCGGCAGCGCCGCGAAGCACTTCCACTACCACTGGCAGTTCTGGTGCACTGGGAGCGCTGGATTTGTTCCGGCTCCGCTCCCGAACATGAGATCCTCTTCTTGGGCGGTTTGCTCATGATGGCATGGGCCGGTCTCCGGTTTGCGGATGCACAGCGAACGAGCCCCGCCTCCTTGCTTCCAGATCGGCATGTCCTTCGTGGCGACTGCTGGCGGACCAAGACCTCCCGATCCGGGCAGCCGTTCGGAGCATTGGCGTACGGATTCTCCGGCCGCCCCCCGAAGTGGGGTTGGGGACACGTGTATTTTGACACGCTACGCCGCTGGCATGCTCGCATGGTTGGGCGAGGCGGGCAAGGGCTCGTCATCGACTACCTCATCCCCAACGTCGCCTGCATGGGCGGGCGTTACGTCGTGGTTGCTGCGCCCATGCGTTTCGGGGCGGCGGTCGTCCTCCTCCGCCGGGCCCTGCAGGCCGCTCCCATGCAGGGCGCCCGCATGACCTCAGCACAGGCGCGCCACTACACGCTGCATAGCATGAAAGTGACCCTGCTCAGCATGGCCAAGCAGATTGACGTCCCGGAGGCGCACCGGGCGGAGCAAGGTCACCATCGCCAGCATGGCGGCCGGGCTTCTGTCCGTCTCTACAGCAGGGACGACGTCTGGGGTGCATTGGTCTGCCAGCGCCTCCTGGTCACAGCGGTGGCAGAGGGGTTCCGCCCGCTCACAGCGCAAGGTCGTGGAGCCCAGGCCCCTGCCACAGAGCCCGAGGTAGCGGTACCTCCGCTCGCGGAGGACATGGAGGTAGCCCCATCCGGGTTCTCTGCAAGCCAGATCCCACAAACGGCAGCAACCAGCGCTAAGATTGTGGCGGCCCGCGTCGCGCTCCCGCCCGCAGTCGGTGCGCTGGCGTCGGAACCCGGGCTGCCCCACGGTGGCGGCGTGGAGGCGGACGAGGTGCAGCACTCAGCAACCTCCGCAGAATCCACAGAATCCGCAGCTACGGAGATCCCTCCGTCGCAGAAGTCGG